CTTCTCCTTCTCCTTCTCCTTCTCCTTCTCCTTCTCCTTCTCCTTCTCCTTCTCCTCCTCCTCCTCTTCCTCCTCCTCCTCCTCCTCCTCCTCCTCCTTCTTCTTCTTTTCTTCTTCTTCTTCTTCTTCTTCTTCTTCCTCTTCCTCCTCCTCCTCCTCCTCCTTACCAATTACAACATTTGGCCTCTTATAAGTGGTCAATTCCCAATGCTCAGATCCCCAAATCAAGAGACACTATACACATTCTTCTGTTCCAATGAGAAGTGAAGGGAATCCTTCACCAGATGAAGCCTAACTCTTACTCTCAAACTTACCCCATGGCTGGCCATACAACACAATCTTATTATATGAAAAGGGGAAGAAGTGAGAGAAGACACTTTTGTCTCATCAGAGAAAGGCAAATTCAAATCCTTCTCCTTATACTAGTTTCCTTTACATTTTTCTGACATAAAGAAGAAAATTCTTCCTGACTGACCTCTTCCTTCCCTTGATGCTCTGGGATGTAACAAAAAGACTCAGTCTGCATAGTTCTCGTGGTTGAAACAATTAGCTTCTGAATTCAAGATTATGTTTTCAGTTTGGATCAAGTCAACAAACATTTATTTATTAAGTGCCTACTATGTGCAAAGCACTGTGCTAAGTGATGAAGATACAAAAAAAGGCAAAAACAAAACAAAACAAAACAGTCCCTGCTCCCGAGAAGCTCACTGTCAAATGGAGCGGGGGAGGGCAAGAGGCAAACAAACATGTGCAAACAAACTATAGGCAGGAGAAATCTGAAATAATCAACAAGGGGAAAGCACAAGAATTAAGGGGCATTAGAAAAAGGTTCCTGTCAAGAGTGGATTTTAACTGGGACCTAAAGGAAGTCAAAAGGTGGAGACGAGAAAGGAAAAATTCCAGGCATTGAAGACAACCAGTGAAAATGTCCAGAGCAGAGAAATACAAGGAAGAACAGCAAAGAGGCTATTGTCACTACATCTCAGAGCATGTGGAATAACGTATTAGAAGGCCAGAAAGGTAGGGAAGGACCGTCTATCAATTTTTCTCTGTCCTCCTGTGCTAAGTCCAATCATCCATCTTGACAAAAGATGTTATGGTGCCCATACCGACCATTACCTCTATTAGAAAAAAAAAAAGTCGAGGCATTTCATTCACTGTGAATCAACAGCAGCATTTTCATAGAGAAAAGATGATACACCACCCACCACTTCACTCATTAAACTTTAAAGTTGGAAAGGACGTCAGGCATTTTCTAACCTAATTCTTTTACAAAGGAGGGAACTGAAGTGAAGAAAAGATAAGTGAACTGTTAAAGGTTCTAGCATCATAGAATAATTGGGATGGGAGGGACCTTAGAGATGACTTAGTTCAAACTTTAATTTTACCGAAGTGGAAACTGAAGTTCAGAATAGAGAAATGATTTGCCTTGGGTCACATGTAATGAGTGGCAGTTGGGACCAGAGCCCAGTTCTCTTGATCTCCACCTCTTCTGGGATCTTTTCATTACCCCAGGGAAAGAGTGGTAGAACTACTGTGGAAACACACCTTTCCCTTGATGTGGCACTGGACTTGAAGCAAAGTTTATTCAGAAAAAAATGAAATTTCCCAGGTATCTGCTCCCTGGGAAAAGCTAGGGAAAGCATTCAGTCCCCATTGAGGACCACTCTGCCATGGGAGGAAGGTAGAGACTGATATTCCCTAGAAAAATAAACATATAATCATAGATTATAAAAATGGGAAAGTATACACACACACACACACACACACACACACATACACACACATATTAAGAAATAAGAAGTTGCACATAATGAATTTGCAGTTTCACGTGAAATCATCTTTTGTTGTTGTTGTATTATGTTATGGAAATGCTTGTTTTATTCCATGAATTAAAAATAAGATAAAATTTAAAAAGAAAGAGAAAAAACATTGGAAAGGACCTTGGAAGTCACCTTGTTCAACTCTCTCATTTGAAAGCTGATTCAAAGAAGTTAAATAACTTGCTGAGGGTCCTACAATGAGTGAGAGAAAGAACTGAAACTTGAACACAAGTCTTTCAACAACTAGCCTAGGCCCTTTTTCTACTATATAGTAGAGCAGCAGGTAATTTATATTATATTATAGTACATATTACATGATAATTTTCATTATGAAGGCCCATCTCTGGCTCTGCCAATAAATTTGCAATATTTATTTCAATTTCCCTTATAAGTTTTCATTTTGTTCTTGAGAGTAGGTCTGCCTCTCTCACCAGATCTGGGGGCACAATAGCCATTCACAGACTGATGCTGATTCTAATTGGCTTTAAACAACTTCAGCTGATTCCCTTTGTCCAACCTGGGTGAGTTTTCCTCTCCTTAGGCAACCTGGTGGCCCTCCATCCTGGCAAACTCACCATTTAGGTGCTGGACTTTGTGAGGGATAATAAAGTCAATGTGGTGTCCTGGCAAAGTCCAGCACCTAAATGGTGAGTTTCTCAGGATGGAGGATCACCAGGCTCAGAATTCTTGAGCTCAGTCAGTCACCCCCAATAGCTAACTCAGCCTCCCCCACAGCAAGGATTACAAGCATGCTCCACCATGCCAGGTCCTCAAAGGGTTTTTAACAAATGATTAATAAAAACAATTTATAAAACACTCAAAAGAGCACAATTCAATCCCAGAGACACTAAATTATGTGTTTGGAATTACATGACTGATCACTGAAGACTTGAAACTAGAAACCAGGAGTCCAGGTTTCTCTCCCAGGATCTTATTACTATCCCAGTGTTCTTGAATGACTTATTGTAAGGGTGAAAGATGAAAGAATGGAATCATCAGTGTGTGTACATGGGGTTGGGGGTGGTGGTGGTATTGGAGCTTAAAATCTTCCCTAGGTTGTGCTGACTTAAACCCCATTCTGTGTTTCCTTCCTATTTTCCCCACACAAATATGATTATCCATGTGAAACCAAGTTAAGATGAATATTAATTATAGCTTTGAAAAAGAGATAAATATAAGGTGTTATTGTACTTGGATACTGGGATTTGTGATACATTTCAATTCTTTAGAAGCAAGAGGGGCCCTAGGGGACTGCCAGAGGAACATTTTCACCAGGACTTTCTAAGCAGTATCATCTGAGTGTAAACTCAGTCAACTGGAGGGAGAGGTGAGCTGGAAGTATGTAGACAGCCCGGTTTTGGTGAGTGGCAGGAGTTCTGCAATCTTTGGAGAAGTACTTAGATAAACCAGTGTTTAAACTCTTTAGGAAATCAGTTGGCCGGGGGTCTGGAGTTTAGCGCCATCTAGGGTTAAAATGATGTATTACACGTCCTTGCTGATTGAGTAATAATGGACAACATCTCTATAGGGTTGCAGAAAACCTGATGTGGACAAAGTGAGGACCGCTGTTGAAGCTGTGAAATCCCAGCACGTGGATAGTCTGTACCCTGCCTTGTGTGGGTGTCTCTCCTGAGTTATTTTTTTTTCATTTTCCTCCTTTCTCTTTTCTTTTCATTCTTCTCTCTCCTCACTCTTCTCCTCTCTTTTTTTCTCTTCTCTGTTCTTATTTCCTCTCCTTATTCCTCTCCTTCCCTACCCTTCTCATTTTAATTTTGTTTCTGAGCAGGTTACTCACCATGGATTTTTTTTTCTTTAGACAATTCTGAATTTTATTTTGCTCATTTTCATTATTTTCTTGGTAGATTATTTTGGGGATTGTTGTTCCTCAAGTCTGAGGATTTCAAGTTTGAAATGTTTCCTTGTTCATCCACTTTAATTTATCCTTAGGCAGTCCTGCCATAGAGATGAAATTCATTATAGACCTCTATACATTGTTACAAAAATACTTCACGGTTTTTCTCTTCTTCAGAGCTATAGCTAATGTTCTTTTTTAATGTGGTCACATCTCTGAGGTATTTTATTATTATTTTTTGACTGTGGGAGTTTTTTCC